CTGTGTGATTTCTCGTGCAGCGACCCACTGCACCGGCTCAAACCACGTTGCTGCCCGGGAATCTCCTGGTTTGGCTTTCTGTTTAAGTTCCGTTTAATCAGGTGAATGTGCTAATCTGCCTTCCGAAATCTCCAATTGCCGGTTTAACAGGGCAACCAAACCAGTGTATTTTGTACAGAGTGTCGCTGCGCTGCAGCCTCGGCCCAAACAGCCGCGCCGGCCCAACTGCCAGTGGCCCGTGGGGTTCTTAAACCTGGGAATCTCCTGGTCTGTGGGCAATAAAGATCCATAAGGAAATGCGGCATCCACTCACTCTCTGCGGATTCACTGGGAGCTGCAATCCTGAGTTGTTCTACAGCACCATCTTCCCAGTTCCAGAATAGAGAGTTTAGAAATAAACCCATGCATATGCAACAAAGAAATCTTTGATCAAGTCAGCAAGCATACACAGTGGAGAAGAGGATGGTCTCTTCAATAAATAGTATTGGGAAAATTGGATATCCACATGCCAAAAAATGGAATTGGACCTCTTGTACTATATACAATAATGAACTAAAAATGGAATAAAGACCTGAAACCATAAAAATCCTAGAAAAAAACATAGGGAAAAATCTCCTTGTCATTGGTCTTGGCAATGTTTTTTTTGGATATACAACCAAAAACTTAGGCAACCAAAGCAAAAATAAGCAAGGGGGACTCTATTAAACTAAAAAGCTCTATACAACAAAGGAAACAAAGCAGCAGTTTGAAGAGAGAGCCAATGGAATGGGGAAGAATATTTGGAAATCATACATCTTAAAAGTGGTCAGTATCCAAAATATATAAGGAACACAACTCAATAGTAAGAAAATGGATAACTTGATTAAAAAATGGGCAAAGGATCTGAATAGACATTTTTCCAAGGAAGACATACAGATGGCCAACTGGTATATGAAAAGATGTTGAACATCATTTATCAGGAAAATGAAGATCAAAACCACTGTGAGATACCACCTCACACCTGTCAGAATATTATCAAAAAGACAGAAAATAACAAGTGTTGGCAAGGATGTAGAGAAATAGGAACCCTGTGTATTATTGGTGGGAATATAAATTATGTAGCCATTATGGAAAATGGTAGGGAGGGTCCTCAAAAAACTAAAAATAGAACTTCCATGTGACCCTGCAATCTTACATCTGATTATGTAATCAAAGGAAAAGAAATCGGTATCTCAAAGAGATTCCTGCACTCCCATGTTCAGTGCAGCATTATTCACAATGACTGAAATATGGAAACAACTTTAGTGTCTATCAATAGATGAATAAAGAAATAGTGTTGTGTGTATGTGTGTGCGTGTGTGTGTATATATATATGTGTGTGTTTCTACTCACATATAATATTCTCTACATAGTAGGATATTATTCAACCATAGAAATGGAGAAAATCTTGCTATTTATGACAAAGGGATGAATCTGGAGGACATTATTCTAAGTGAAATAAGCCAAACACAGAAAGGCAAATACTGCATGACTTCATCTATATGTGGAATTGTTTTTTTAAGTTGAATTCATCTCTCCTAGGCAACATAGCAAGACCCAATCTCTATTAAAAAATTAGCCAGGCATGGTAGTGCATGCCTGTAGTCCTACCCACTCAAGAGGCTAGGGTGGGGCCAGGTGCGTCAGCTCACACCTGTAATCCTAGCACTTTGGGAGGTGGAGGTGGGTGGATCATTTGAAGTCAGGAGTTCGAGACCAGCCTGGCCAACATAGTGAAACCTTGTCTTTACTAAAAATACAAAAATCAGCCAGGCGTGGTAGCATATACCTGTAATCCCAGCTACTCAGGAGGTGGGTGTTGCAGTAAGCCGAGATCATGCCATTGCACTCCAGCCTGAGCCACAAAGTGAGACTCCATCTCAAAAAAAAAGAAAAGAGGTTAGGGCAGGAGGACGGCTTGAGCCCAGGAGTTAGAGGCTGCAGTGAATTATGATTGCGCTTCTGTGCTCCAGCCTGGGCAACAGGGAGACCCAGTCACTAAAAAATGGTTGAACTCACATAAGCAAAGAGTGTAACAGTAGTTGCCAAAGAATACAAACTTTCAGTTATAAGATTAAAAAGTCTGGGGATCAAAACGATTTAGGGCAAATAAGTAAAAGTAGCCTTTACTTATTTACTAGCACTACTTACTGAGTGCTGCCGTACACTGTGCCAAGGACCTTATACTTACTTGGATTATGGCATTTAATCCTTGGAACAAGTCTATGACTGTCACTGTCCTTTTTTTTTTTTTTTGAATCAAGGTCTTTGCCACCCAAGCTGGGATACAGTGGTATGATTACAGCTCACAGCAGATTTGAACTCTTAGGTTCAAGTGATCCTCAGCCTCCTGAGTAGCTTGGGCTACACGCATGTGCCACCACACTGGCTAATTTTTTGTAGAGATGGGGTCTAACCATGTTGCCCAGGCTGGTCTCAAATTCTTGGGCTCAAGCAATCCTCCTGCCTCCTCGGCCTCTCAAAGTATTGGGATTACAGGCATGAGCCACCATGCCCAGCCAGTCACCATCTTTAGAAATGAAAAGAATTAACAAGAAGAAATTTGTCAAACATGATAAAATATTTAACCTCAGTTGTAATTACAGCAGGGAACCTTTTTTTTTTTTTAGACAGAGTCTTGCTCTTGTCACCCAGGCTGGAGTGCAGAGGCCTGACCTCAGCTCGCTGCAACCTCCACCTCCCAGGTTCAAGCGATTCTCCTGCCTCAGCCTCCTGAGTAGCTGTACAGGTGCCCACCACCATGCCCAGTTAATTTTTATATTTTTAGTAGAGACGGGGTTTCACCATGTTGGCCAGGCTGGTCTCGAACTCCGGACCTCAGGTGATCCACCTGCCTCAGCCTCCCAGAGTGCTGAGATTACAGGCATGAGCCACTGCGCCCAGCCAGCAGTGAAACGTAAGAAATCAAATTAGCAAAGAGAAAAGAAAAATAAGGTTCAGCAATGGCGATGGTGTGATGAAAATTCATTCTAATCTAATGTTGGCAGTGTGAATTACTACAGTCTGTCTAGGAAGTTGGCAGTATGTAACTAGGGTGTTAAAATATTCAATAATTTCACTTCCAGGTGGAATTTCAAGAATTTATACTAAGGGAATAATTAGGGTCTCAAGAAAGTTTGGTGTGTATAGAACATTCATTATAATATCACAGATTATTTCAAAAAGGGAATAGTTAAATAAATTTTACCATAGCCAGTTTCTATAATATTTTCTAGTCATTAAAATGATTTCAAATTAGTATGAGGAAAATTTTTAGGCCAAAATAAGTGAAAGAAAAATTAGATACAAATTACTTGAAGTGTAAGTCCGATTTTGTTTAACTCTCAAGTAAGAAAATGAGGGCTGGGGGCAGTGGCTTATGCCTGTAATCCTAGCACTTTGGGAGGTTGAGACAGGTGGATCAGTTGAAGTCAGGAGTGCAAGACTGGCCTGGCCAATATGGTGAAATCCTATCTCTTCTAAAAATACAAAAATTTGCCGGGTATGGTAGCACACTTGTAATCCCAGCTACTCAGGAGGCTGAGGCAGAAGAGTGACTTGAACCCAGGAAGCAGAGGTTTCAGAGAGCTGAGATCTTGCCACTGCACTCCAGCCTGGGCAACAAAGCAAGACTCTTTCTCAAAAAAAGAAAAAAAACTACACACAAAAATTCCAGTTACATTACATTTACATAGAAAAAAAGAAAGGAAGACATTTAGCATCAGATTCTTCCTGATGATTATCCCTGGGTGATAGATTTAGGGATGGCGTGTAGATGATTTTGTGTATTTTTCCAATTTTAACCAATTTGGGAATGTTACTTTACTAATCAGAAAAAACAAATAGTCAGGTGTGATGGCTCATGCTTGTAATCCCAGCACTTCGGGAGGCTGAAGTTGGAGGTTTGCGTGGGGCCAATAGTTCAAGATCAGTCTGGAAAACAGAACTGTAAAATCCTGTCTCTACAAAAAGTGTAAAAATTAGCTAGGTGTGGTGATGCAAGCTTGTAGTCCTAGCTATTCAGGAGTCTGAGGTGGGAGCATCACTGGAATCCAGGAGTTCAAGGCTGCAGTGAGCTGTGATCATGCCACTGTACTCCAGCCTGGGTGACAGAACAAGAGCCTGTCTTAAAAAAAAAAAAAAAAAAAGTAGTAACAAGTTGGACTCAGTGGCCCATGCCTGTCATCCCAGCACTTTGGGAGGCTGAGGCAGGCAAATCACTTGAGGTCAGGAGTTACCAGCCTGGCCAACATGGTGAAACCCCAGTTCTACTTTTTTTTTTTGAGACAGAGTTTCACTCTTGTTACCCAGGCTGGAGTGCAATGGCGCGATCTTGGCTCACCGCAACCTCCGCCTCCTGGGTTCAGGCAATCCTCCTGCCTCAGCCTCCTGAGTAGCTGGGATTATAGGCACACGCCACCATGCCCAGCTAATTTTTTGTCTTTTTAGTAGAGGCGGGGTTTCACCATGTTGACCAGGATGGTCTTGATCTCTTGACCTGGTGATCCACCAACCTCCCAAAGTGCTGGGATTACAGGCTTGAGCCACCACGTCCAGCCTTCTGCCTCTACTAAAAATAAAAAAATTAGCTGGGCATGGCACCTGTAATCCCAGCTAACTCGAGAGGCTGAGGCAGGAGAATCACTTGAACCCAGGAAGCGGAGGTTGCAGTGAGCCAACATTGCGCCACTGCACTCCAGCCTGGGTAACAAGAGCAAAATTCCATCTCAAAAAAAGAAGAAAAAAAAAAACAAATACCAAACATGTTAATATTGCAAAGGCAGTTTAACCTGAAATGACGTTTTAAGAAGGCATCCTGCTTGATTTACTTGTGTGCCGTATAACTGAAACAGAGAGGGAAAATGACAGGAAAACTTACCACCTTTACTATTTTGTTCTACTACAAGTTTAAATAAAATGAGTATTCTGAAACAAGTTAATTTTGAACTTACGGTAACTTAAAATGTTATTTCTTGTTTTAGGATGACAAATGGGAAAAGAAATGCCAGAAGATTTTTTCATTTGCCCACCAGACTATCAGTGCTTTGATCAAAGCAGAACTGGCAGAATTGCCCTTAAGACTTTTTCTTCAAGGAGCACTAGCTGCTGGGGAAATTGGTTTTGAAAATCATGAAACAGTGGCATACGAATTCATGTCCCAGGTGATGATCTGTTCTTCCTGAATTGTCACATTAGCTCTGCTGAGTTCAGTTGCTTGTTTGCAGGCGTGGCAGTAATGCACATGAGTTTACTCTTCTTTCCCTGAATATGTAACTACCACCTTCCCACCATCTTGGAACCTCTTTAATATTATCGTCAAAGTTGACTGATCATTTGCTGGGTGCTGATGAAATCTAAGATTTCCAACTGGGTTGTGGTAAAAGTGTTTCATGGAATATGGTTCCTTTGTCAATTCATTTTAGGAACCCTGGGTTAAACAAAGTTGAAAGAAGTTTCTTTATTGCAACTTTTTAGCATTTTTACCATCTTAGCAGTGTCCTGTGGTCTCAAGAGAGGGTGCAGCATGTTCTGATATGAAGGCTGAAGAAGTCTCACAGGATGGAGGTTTGGTGAGAAGTACGTTGGAAAATGCTCAGCTAGAGAATGGTTGGTCCTTGAAAGTCCTTCTGCTTTGTATTCTCTAGGCATTTTCTCTGTATGAAGATGAAATCAGTGATTCTAAAGCACAGCTGGCTGCCATCACCTTGATCATTGGCACTTTTGAAAGGATGAAGTGCTTCAGTGAAGAGAATCATGAACCCCTGAGGACTCAGTGTGCCCTTGCTGCATCCAAACTTCTGAAGAAACCTGATCAGGGCCGAGCTGTGAGCACCTGTGCACATCTCTTCTGGTCTGGGAGAAACACAGACAAAAATGGAGAGGAGGTAAGGTGATTCCTAACTGCATGATAGCAGACAGGATCGATAACAGGGATCAATTGCCATGGCCTTGTGCTCTAGAGGTGAAACCTATGGGGTGCTCGGAAGTCTGATGAACAAAATTGCTTTGGTTTTGTTAAAAAAAAAAAAAAGTCTCATCCTATAGTGAAGCCTTTGCTTTGAGGATATTGTAACATTGCAAGTCCAAACCACTACCTGTTTTTTAAAAAAAGTACACCTGTATACTTCAAAACAGAAGACGGAGGAGAATGAAAAGGACTTAAATTTGTTGTTTTTCTTTAAAACACAAAAGAGTACGGTAGTGTTGTGTTTCTTTGTATGAAAATGGGCTGTTTCAATAATCTCTTCACTGTGTTCCTACCCTTTTATTTTAGCTTCATGGAGGCAAGAGGGTAATGGAGTGCCTAAAGAAAGCTCTAAAAATAGCAAACCAGTGCATGGACCCCTCTCTACAAGTGCAGCTTTTTATAGAAATTCTGAACAGATATATCTATTTTTATGAAAAGGAAAATGATGCGGTAAGTGTATTAGTAAAGTGTTGTTAATAAACTAATATTTTCCCTTCCTACTTTAGGAGATTTGATAGGTACAAAAGTTTATCATTCTGATACTTTAATCACTGTTCATTTGAAAAATATAAAATAGGCTGGGCAGCTGTGGCTCATGCCTATAATCTCAGTACTTTGGGAGGCTGAGGCAGATGTATCATGAGGTCAAGACCAGCCTGACCAACATGGTGAAACCCTGTATCTACTAAAAGTACAAAAAATTAGCTGCATGTGGTGGCGCACGCCTCTAATCCCAGCTACTCAGGGGGCTGAGGCAGGAGAATCACTTGAACCCAGGAGGAAGAGGTTGCAGTGAGCAGAGATTGTGTCATTGCACTCCAGCTTGGGTGACAGAGCAAGACTCAATCTCAAAAAAATATTTTTTTAAGACAAATATCAAATAATTTACAGATACCAAATAATAGGCTAATTTGTCGTAATGTTCTAGTTTAAGATCATTGCTAGGCTGGTCACAGTGGCTCACTTGTAATCCCAGTACTTTAGAAGGCCAAGGCAGGTGGATCACCTGAGGTCAGGAGTTTGAGACCAGCCTGGCCAGCATGGTGAAACTCCCTCTCTACTAAAAATAGAAAAATTAGCCAGGTGTGGTAGTGGGCGCCTATAATCCCAGCTACTTGGGAGGGTGACAAGGAAAATTGCTTGAATCCAGGAGGTGGAGGTTGCAGTGAACTGAGATTGCACCATTGCACTCCAGCCTGGGTAACAAAAGTGAAACTTCGTCTCAAAAAAAAAGATAATTCCTAAATGTAGTATCCTTTTAGTAATGCAGCTTTGGTCAAGATTGGTAAGTTAAATAAAATTTTGCTTTTCTTTTTTTTTTTTTTTCTTTTAATTGATGGAGTTTTGTTCTGTCATCCAGGCAGGAATGCAGTGGTGCAATCTCAGCTTATTGCAACCTCTCCCTCCCAGGTTCTCCTGCCTTAGCCTTCTGAGTAGCTGGAATTACAGGTGCCTGCCACCACACCCAGCTAATTTTTGTATTTTTAGCAGAGGTGGGGTTTCACCATGTTGGCCGGCTGGTCTTGAACTCCTGACCTCAAGTGATCTTCCCAAAGTGCTGGGATTATGGGCGTGAGCCACCATGCTGGACCAATTTTGCTTGTGTTTAAGAGTTGTTTTTTGGGCGGGGGGTGGGGGTGTAGTCAGTAGTTGTTCGAACTAGAAATTGTGCTCCCATCTTGCTTTTTTCATAATTACTCAAGTAATTGATGAGAGTAACAGAAACTCTTCAAAACAGTTTTATTAAATTGTCTTTCATTTTTTTGTGGTACATGCTTGATCATGAATTTGTATATACTCTTTTGTAGGTAACAATTCAGGTTTTAAACCAGCTTATCCAAAAGATTCGAGAAGACCTCCCAAATCTTGAGTCCAGTGAAGAAACAGAGCAGATTAACAAACATTTTCATAACACACTGGAGCATTTGCGCTTGCGACGGGAATCACCAGAATCTGAGGGGCCGATTTATGAGGGTCTCATCCTTTAAAAAGGAAACAGCTCACCATACTTCTTTCCATGTACATCCAGTGAGGGTTTTATTACGCTAGGTTTCCCTTCCATAGATTGTGCCTTTCAGAAATGCTGAGGTAGGTTTCCTGTTTCTTACCTGTGATGTGTTTTACCCAGCACCTCCGGACACTCACCTTCAGGACCTTAATAAAGTTATTCACTTGGTAAGTGTTCAAGTCTGTCTGATCACCCCAAGTAGCATGACTGATTTAAAATTCCTGTGATCTGTAAAAAAAAACAGAAAAAAACCCACAAGCACTGATCTTGGCTACTAATGAAGCTCTTCCTCTTTTTTGTTTTGTTTCATTGTTGATTGTGTATTTTCTTCATTACTGGGGAGTACTAACCCAAAAGTGTCTGTCTGTTTTCTTCTCTACTCCAATTTCAGATTAATTTAGAAGAAAGGAATACTGTATGTGAACTTCATCTTGGGCTTTTCCCTAAATTGCAAGATATGACCATGTATAAAATTTTCCCTAAAACTAGAATATATTAATGCATGTTTGAGAATTTTAAAGCATCATGGTCAAAACCAGAAGCTATATTTTGCATATTTGGATTCAGCCACCCATTAAGAACTTATGTTGTCCTCTGGGCGTATTTATCAAAATAATTTGGTTTTAAATAGTATAAAAGAAAATTTGTGATCTATATAAATTATGTATCTCCATTGTAAATTTAGCAGGAAATGCATCACAATTATGATTTTTTTTTTTCACCAGTGAAACAATAAAGTTGCTATTAACAATTTCGGAGCTTTTTTTCATACTATCTTTATTAATAAAAAGAACTAGTAGAATGCTTATGGAGTTTAATAGACATTCTCTTATTTTCACAGAGCTTACTTAACTCTAGTTTTAGTCACTTGTTGAACAAGGCGGCATCTACTCTTACAGTCATTTATACCCCTTTTCTTTCCTCAACTTCACCCTGCTTTTACCAAGGCATGATGAATTCATGTAACACCCCCCAAAGGTTCACCACCTGTGCTAGTAACCTACTATGTAATAAGTTATCCCAAAATTTAGTGTGTTAAAACAGCAAACATTTATCTCACAGGTCTCTGGATCAGGAGTTTGGGGGCAGCTTAGCTGGTGGTTCTGGCAAAAGGAGTAGTGTAAGGTTGCAACAAGATACTGGCTGAGGCTGCAGTCATCTGAAGCTTCAACTGGGGCTGAGTTCTTTGCTTTATAGACCTGGCTGTTAGGCAGAGGCCCCAGTTCCTCTCCTTCCACAGAGTGTCCTCACAGTATGGTGGCTGGCTTTCCCCCGAGTATGAAAGCAAGAAGGAAACCCACATTGCCTTTCGGTGGCCTCACCATGGAAGTGACACACTCATTTTTTGCCTTATTCTGTTAGTGGGAAATCACTAAGTCTAGCCTATATTCAAGGGCAAGGAGAATTAAGCTCCACCTCTTGAAGGGAGAATTTATAGACATTTTCAAATGACTACATCACTTAACCCCTCACCATCTGTCTTCCCATTGCTAGCACTTGATGACTAACCTTTCCTAGGCTTTACATGAACAAATGTTTCCCAGAGTTAGAAAATCAGTACCACTAAAATGTATCAAATGTTAAAGCCTTTCCGTGGTATGTCATAGTTCAGCACACCCTTTTTGTTCTTTACAGGTGTTAGTTTATCCCCATATAAACCTGATTATGGCTTGACATGTCCTTATTATTTACATGTTTTGTGAAATACAACTGGAATAGTAGAAAAGACATGAGAATACTTGAATTTGAGTTCAACTGGAGAGGTTGGTTTGCAGGCAAAATAATGTCAGTACAGTGTGTAAATTAGCTCTTATTTTCTGGGTTGAGAGAAAGAGACCTGATTTTTAAAATAATAAACCAACAAAAAATAAATAAAAATGAAGCCAAAGCACTGTTGATAATCTTAACTTAGGGATTTTTTTGTTGTTGAACAAAAACAGTAGTAGATAGAGTTAGGCACTGAATCTAAAGGTCAAGAAGGTAGTCCCTAGCTTCAAGAATTTTAGTCTGCTGTGAATAGGTATCTGTAGTTACAGAAGATGGTAAGTGTATACCCAGGAGAGCAGTGAAGAAGGGCTTTGGGGGGTTGAGATGGGGAAGTTCTGCAGAGGGCTGAATGAATTCTCACAGAACGTCAAGTCCAATAGCGTATTTAGCCTTCTGAGGCCAGTGCTTGGCCTCCAGTCCCATGCTACTCAAAGGCAGACCCATGGGCTAAAGCCAGTTATAGTCTTGCCTGTCCGTAATGAAAATCTAAAAACTGACTTGGCATTTAAAACCTTTTATAGCAATTTGGTTGAGTAATTATTTTATGTCTATTGGATGTAATAAAAATTCAGCTACATTGTGTGTCTGCTACTCCCTGCTCTCCTTTTTTAGCAGTTTTTATATCTTACAAAAAAGTACCTGTCCTTGATGGGGGTGGGAATCCTTCACAGGTGGATGGAAATGCTGAACCAGGGCAGGCTTGGTGCTGAATGGCATTAAATTCCAAGACTAGGTTTCCTGTCTCCACAGAGGAAACCAGTGATTCTTAGAGTCCAGATGATTCCTCCTTTGCCTAGAAATTCATGTGTCTGACTCATCCTCAAGTTTGTGATTGGTGGTCTTGAGGTTAATGAACTGCCCTGTCTGTTAACAGCCCTGGCTGATGTATGCACCTCAGAGGTGTTTGAGTTGATTAGGCATCAGAGCACCTAGAAGGAAAATAGTGAGCACTTGTAGTGTGTAGTTCATGTGTAACTTTCAGAGCCATTGAGAAATGTGACAGACCTCAAGGAATAACTACACTACCACAGGCACTGAGGGGATTTAAACACAAAGTCTGGGTTCCAGAGGGGTCTTCCATTACATTTGCTCTCTCTGAGACTCCAGGGTAGTAAGCTCAAGCAGAAAGGATTTCTCATCAGAATTATCTTTGACAATGGGAATTTCAGAATGCATATTGTAAATAAAAGGTAGATAAATCTGTGCAGAAGACCTTCCTGTTTACTGGGGTTGGTCCTATGGGGATGCTGTGGGCATGGACAGTAGACACTGATTCAGGTGCCAGTATTCACATTTGCTGCACACTTGAATTATCAAGAGTAGTGACCTGCCCTAGGTTTGATTAAAGACATTTCCAGGCTTGTGGTAATGCAAAAACAATTCATTTGGAAGGGGGCTGGGAAAGGTCTTGTATTGCTGATTACTCCAGTAGGACACCCTTCATTGTCCAACAAAACAGTCCATGCTTCTAAAATCTCTGGAGATAGACTGTGTATTTTATTTTATTTTTTTGTTTGAGATAGAGTCTTGCTGTGTCACCCAGGCTGGAGTGCAGTGGCATGATGTTGGATCATTGCAACCTCCGCCTCCTTGGCTCAAGTGATTCTCCTGCCTCAGCCTCCCGAGTAGTTGGGATTAAAGGGGTGTATCACCATGCCTGGCTAATTTTTGTATTTTTAGTAGATACTGGGTTTCACCGTATTGGCTAGGCTGGTCTCAAACTTCTGACCTTGTGATCTGCCTGCCTCACCCTTCCAAAGTACTGGAATTTTAGGCATGAGCCACAGTGCCCAGCCAGATTGTATATTTTATCACTCATTGCAGTATTTAGCCTTGTGTCAGTAGTGTCTTCAAATAAGTAAAATCTTAGACTGTGACTTAAATCCATTTTCACGTAGCAGAGAGCAAAATAGAAACACAAGGAAACCTTTGGAGGCTTCACAACTGTTGGGAATGGGCTATTCTCAATTGTGTTTCAGAGTCAAGATATAAATTACTTCCCAAAGTTAGTTAGACCTATGGGTAAACTCCATGTTAGACCTATGGGTAAATTCCATGCTATTGACCACTCTGAGTACAAAGTCCTAGAGGGCAATTCTATATACCACATTTTACAGGAGCTTATAGGAACCAGTTTCTTAAATGGGTTCCATGTTTCCTTATGGCAAACACTAAAGTGAAGTGGGTGGCAAGGCTTAGGGGAAATGTTTGTGACTTTTTCCTCCATGAGCCATAGGCCATGACAGCTGAAATGAGTGACCGAGGCCAGGAGCTCAGTCATTTGAGGGTTATTCAGCCAGCTTTGGGGCGTGTCTGGGAAAACCGTGATCCACAGGTACCTGTGGCTGTTTTTCCAAAGATGTTCTCAGTAGGTTTCATTATACATTTCCTTAAAGGGAGGACAGAGAAGGCATACAGGAAGAGGGGCAGGTAGGCAATAAGGCAAATGGTTACATTATTTTGAGACTTTAGTATCCAGAATTCTATACTTTACACAGATAAGGTGAGTGTTAGAAGGAAAAACAAGAAAAGGAAGAATCAATGACGCAGGTGTCTCTGGGTAGGTGGAAGAATGACTGATCTTGTCTTTGTTTTGCACCTGGGAAGATACACTTGTAATGGACATTTTCAATCAGTGTGCAATCCAGTGGACTTTAGTTTTAGGAGCTAGATGTGGATTGCAGACCTGAAGTTAGAATTGATACATCCTTGTTTGTGGAAGGCCAGCAAAGCATTTGAAACCACCTTTGCAAAAATTATAACTGAGGAAATTATGACAGTAAAAGACATCAGACCTAACTGACTCCATTTTGCTTCTAACCTGTAAGTTGTCTTTGTTCATTCCTGGGCATGGGCCAGACTAACTTTGGGAAGGAATTCAGTTCATGGTTTGACTCTGAAACAAAATTATTAACAGACCTTTCCCGAAAAGACCCCCTTCTTGCCTGGGGACCTGTCTCCTTTGCAGGACTAACAAATAGCTACAAGATTAGAAATTACAGTTTTAGGGGTCATGCAGCCTCTGACGCCAAGAGTCTGAACTTCCCAAAATTGCTCTTGGGGATAACATCACTACTGTAAAACCTAGTATCAGTGCTTGAGATAGTTTGCAGACACTGCCCTCGATGGATCAGCTGACACCACCCAGACCCATAATGTGGCTCAACAAGTTGTGCCATCCCACCCAGGAACAGAAGACAGCAAGAAAACCTCACTTTGACCCCCTGTGATCCCATTTCCAACCTGACCAATCACACTCCCCACTTCCTAAGCCCCTGCCTGACAAATTCTCTTTAAAAATTCTGATCCCTAAATGCTTGGGGAGACTAATTTGAGTAATAATAAATCTCCAATCTCTCACGCAACCAGCTGTGTATGAATTACTTTTTCTCCACTGCAACTCCCCTGTCTTGACAAACTGGCTCTGCCTATACAGTGGGCAAGGTGAACCCGTTGGGTGGTTACAGATTCACTTAAGAATGATCTGTGGGGGAATCTGGGAATGCCTGAGGCCTTTGACCTTTCCCTGGGGATCTAGCTGATGCATGAGGCTGGTAATAGCTGTTCATTTGGAAGAGGGTGTTGCACGACCCAGCCTGGGGCTTAACTTTCCCTTTGGCATAGGCAGTTTGGGGGTCCTGAAATTTTTGTTTTTCCTTTATGAAGGTTTAGGTGATCTGGTACTGGAGGCAGGGAACAAATGGCCAATTCACACTTTATGACAGGAAATATCCTCTCTATAGGCCATCTGTAAATGACTTTATAACTTTACTTCATCCTCTTCATTTTGCATAGGGTGTACCCCAAGTAGAGTGTCACAAAAACTCTGTAATAGGACCTTTGAGCCCCTGTGCTCAAGCCCACTCCCACACTGTGGAGTATACTTTCATTTTCAATAAATCCCTTCATTCCTTCCTTGCTTTGTGCATTTTGTCTAATTCTTGGTTCCAGATGCCAAAAACCTGGACACCCTCCACCATTAACAG